CGCCCCCGGCGCCTCGAGCCGTTTCAATATAATGAACCGGCTGTTTACGATGACAAGAATTTTTCGGGGCGCAATTAAGAAATTACCGGGCCATATATCGTACCGTTTTATGCCCGCGTCCCCGTGGACAATGTATTCACGTGCTTATACGTGGAACGAGACTGGATCCAGCGAGGAAGGGAGAAACGGAGAGGAGAGGAGGAGTTTGAGGCCCAGCGGCGCGCGTTCCCGATCGACCGGGCCCCGACGGATAGACGCCAGGCGTCCGGGCCCGCGGAGATTCTACCGTTCGGGCACCGGTTGCTGGGGTTCCATCCCGCGGAGTCACTACTAATTTCACCGTGTAGTTTTATTGCCAGCTGTTCGGTCCTCGGTCGCGCGCGCAATCGAAAGAGGGGGAGGGTTCCTTTATTTTCTGGTCGCTTTTCAATTTCTCTTCCTACGGTTTTCGGTTGAAAGAGAACTCGGAGAACCGGAGATCGAGCTGGTTAGAGGGTTCAGTTTGACGAAAGAGGTTTCCTTAGTCCTTTGTAATCGGAATCTTTCTTCGTTAGGTGTATTCAATATTTCCTAATGAAACGTTAATGGTTCTTTTCGGAATACAAATGTAATACGCGAAGAGATGGAATTGTTATATTTCGTCATCTCATTTGAAACTGGATCGTACCAAGTGACTGTAACTCGCCTATCGACTGCACAGGGTTAGTTTCTGTTCGCATTTCAATTTCTACTGCTTCTTTGATAAGACGGAATTTGAAAGACTAGAGATCGAGTTAGCTAAAGCGATTCAGTTTTAATGAAATAGAGGAATTTTGTCGCGTTTCTGTTCGATTTTCGATACTTCTTCCTTGGTTCCTGAGCGAAAATATAGGGAGGTTTTTTTATTTTCTATTTAATATTCAATTTCTATTCCCCATTTCTCCGTTGAAGAAGTCAAAGTGCTGGCTAGCGATCCTGCTAGAGCGATTCCGTTTTAACTGCGACCGTAAAAACGAGGGACGCGTAAATCCATTAGCGGCGTACATCTGTCGCTCTTTGCGCGTTCTCTCGCGGGGACGTTAAACGACAGTGTTTAGCGACGCGATGCAGCTCGCCGTTTCGATTTGCATTTCTATGGTTTCCCGCGCGCCGGTGCCCGGCACTCGAACGACAGAGAGCAGCGGAGAGATTGTACGGTTTCTGCTTTACAAGGTAGTTACACGGTAGATAGCGTCGCGGAAAATGGAGGCGACGTATCCGCCGGTGATCTATAGCCTCGGGTTTTAATAACGCCTGTAATCAATATAAATCAGCGGCCGCGAGAGGCATGGACGCGCTCGTTTCCTTCTTCTTCGCGATGATCTCTGGCCGGGGAACGCGATCTTGCATCGCGGATTCGAGCGCGGCCGACGGTTCCGGATCCTCCGCGTTTCCGTTCACACGGACCGTCATCCAGCCATCCTTTGTTATGTTAACGCCGGCCGCGAAAAATTCGCGAGCGTGTAGTAGTCTTTTTAAATTAAAACTCTCGTAAACCATAGGAGACGTTTCAAACGGTAATAGTAACAATTCATTCTTTCCTGTAACTTGATTATAAAGGAAACAAGGGGGAAGTGAAAATGGAAACAAGCTAAAAGATAATGGGTTACCAAGAGGAATAGAAAATCTCCATCATTGGTTGACGATTCGTTAACAACTGGATACCCGATTACTCATTTTTATAATTTCTTTGACACAATTTGTTATATTTTCTTCCTCTATTAAGAAATTTAGTGATTGTTCTGTGTAATCAGTGAGTTTATAAGGGATGATGAGGTTTGTCGGATGTTGTTAGTTTCCAGATTGCTTCTTTACTTACTAGGAAATTGCTGAACGTTGAAAGAATTGCACGAGATGTTTATCAATATTTAAAAGCAGCGTATTATTCGAACGCGTAAATGATTTTATTGACAAAGTATTGAGGCCGGTGGTCGTCGACAGTCGAATCAATTAAAATCCATTTAGCAACGTGTCGGTGAACGAACGAGACCCTCTAGCAACCCCTTTCTGGATAAATTGGCGTTTTCAAAAAAGCGCTCCACGCACGGCTTGACGCTTTGTTTCCGGGCGTTCCCCGTTCACGCGCCCGTACGCTCACGATGCCCCTTTATTGCCTCTCCTCTCTCCCACTTTCTCCGCCACCCTCTTTTCCAGCATTCCCGAGACGCACAATGGCGATTCGACAGGAATTCTTTGTTTTATTGGAAAGCCGAGGACAAATATTTTGGCTCGGCCGAATTAACCGGTGTTCAGTGACAGCCTACGTGCTCGAAAAATATGTCCCAACGTCCGTGCAAAATGCCTTGCCTCGTCGTTACATTAGAAATAAAATATAGACGAAACTTATATTGACTAATGAACTTGATAGACCTATGCTCCAATCATAAGTAATCGAAGAAAAACGGTCGATCTCTTATCAGAGAATAGATCCATACCACACTATGAAAACAAAGTTTAAACAGTTTCGAGTAAAATTTCGGAATTTCAGAATTCTTCATTAAATTACAGAATTTCTGTGATCTTCAAATATCCAAGTCCTCTAATTTAGCAACATTCTACGATATCTCTAATCAACCTCGAACCTTCTACTCTCGTCTCCCATCGTCGATTTTATCCTCGAATATTTCTGCTTCATACAACGAAGTACAAAACTGAACACACTCGTTCATTCCCAAAATGTCAGGCTCCGCACTAAAAGTGTTAATCCGCAGATGCGACCCGCCTGTAACGGCGTTAGCCATTAGGCATAAATTGATATGCATTATAAAGAGACCGGCCACCCTTCCCCCTCCGACAGAACACGAGGATGAGACGCATAGAAAAGAGAAGTGAAAGGAAAAAGAATCGGGAAGAACGGGAAGCTTGTAACACGTCCGGGCGATCGTCGCATGTGCGTCGCTCGCGCGACCCGTTGACGATTGGTCGGGATTGACAATGGTTTCACCCCACGGCCAGCGCCATTGGTCAGGATTTTCGGAGGGTTAGAGGCGCGGAGAATAAGGGGATGATACGGGATGAGTCGACGGGGGTTGTTGTGGAATAAGCGTTAAGTAGGGGCGAGCGGTGTCGGGAGGAAGACAGAGAAAGGGGAGCAGCGCGGGTAAATGGCTTCTCCGGTGGCGAAACCGACCGATTGAAAATTTTCCTCCCGCCGTTCGGTGTCGTTCAGCGTGAGAAACGCGACCGATAGTTTGTAATAAATAAGCTTCCACCCTCCATGGAAGCATACTTCTTTTTCGAGAGATAATTATTCCCGGTACACTCTTGTGTTTTCGACGAGAAACTTTCGTGTTCTAAATTCAAGCATTATACTTAACGTTTCGATATTCCGAATATAGTTTTTGCTAAAAATCGTGATAACATAGATTTTACGTGATAACTTGTGTTGTGCCAAAATTGCGGAGAGCGCGGAGGCGCTTCTGTTTATCAGTATCAATTATAGTTTTCTTACTATGTTTTTCAAGGAATAAATCAAAGTAAATTTATTCGAATAAAAGTTTTTTTTTGATATTCGTTTGTAATAAAACAATATTTCTGATCGTATTTTTGGTAAATATCCACAAAAGTTGTTTAGCATCCAAACGGTTAGATAGAGAGAAATTTAGGAAATAAAGTGAAAGTGTTGGCTAGCGTATGAAGATTTTAATAGAAATGCTATAGAAGTTGTATGTAAGAAATAATATGACAGATTATAAGACAAGACTTCCTGTAGGAAAGTTGTCAAGTCGTTGAATGGCGAAGTATGTTATAATGAATGATAGAGAGTGGAACA